AATTTCAAGTCTCTAGCTTCAATAGCGTCGAAATAGATTGCGTTCATACGGACAGACGGACGGACAGCAAGACGGACATTGCACAAAACCAATATACTCTTTCACTTCCTGAATGAGTCTAAAAAACCGAATATTAATGTTTGACACTGTATATAATACTTACATACATATATATTTTTTTTAACCAGAAAGAAAAGGCAGATATATCAATTGAACCTATTGATCGGGGCTGTGGTTACCAAAACCCAAACGGAGTTGGCTTTAAGATTACGGGAGCAATCGATCAAGAAGCAGAATTTGGAGAATTTCCATGGATGGTTGCAATTTTAAGAGAAGAATCGCAACTCAACTTATATGAATGTGGAGGAGCTTTGATAGCCCCAGATGTTATACTGACAGCTGCCCATTGTGTTCATAATAAGGATGCAAAATCTCTTATTGGTAAGATGACCTGAACAATTTAATTATATTAATTTGAAATACTTTATATTTATTTCAGTTCGGGCTGGTGAATGGGATACGCAGACGAAAGTAGAAATAATTCCACATGAGGATCGTTATGTTAAGGAGATAATATATCACGAACAGTTTAATAAGGGGTCTCTTTATAATGATGTTGCGCTACTTTTCCTGGAAAGTCCATTTAACTTGCAAATGAATATTCAACCTATTTGCCTGCCGAATATAGGGGAGGATTTCGAGCTAGATCGCTGTTACGCAACTGGTTGGGGAAAAAATAAATTTGGAAAGGAAGGCGAATACCAAGTTATTTTAAAAAAAATAGATTTACCCGTCGTTTCAAACGCAAAATGCCAAGCTAATTTACGCGAAACACGACTTGGAAGGCATTTTATATTGCATGATAGCTTTATGTGTGCCGGGGGAGAAAAGGATAGGGACACTTGCAAGGGCGATGGTGGCTCACCATTAGTGTGTCCAATTAAAAATCAACCTAACCGTTTCAAATCCGCTGGCATAGTTGCCTGGGGTATAGGTTGTGGCGAAGAGAATATACCTGGTGTATACGCGAAGGTTTCTTATTTAAGACCATGGATAGACCAAAAGCTTGCTTTGCGACAGGTTGATTCCAAATATTTTACGCCTTAATCGATCATTTTAGATATTTGAAAATTGTATGAATTTTGTTTATGAATCGTACAATGTAAAATGAAAAATTAATAAAAAAAAGTATGTTTGCATAAAGATAATTATTTTTTATACAGTTTAACATGAAAGTGTTTTCACATAGGAAACAAATATTTTTGTTCTTTAACATTAAACAATTAAGAAAGCTCTAGTCTAGACTGCTCGACTACGAGATCCCCTGAACCATCCGAGCAACTGATATTTCAATAATTATTCGCACATGCACACACGCACACACACAGGCATACGCGCTCACGCATAAACACGCATTGGCAGCAGTGTCGGCTTAATATGGGAACTTAATTCAATTAACAAGACAAGTTATTAAACAATTAAGTTAATTGCTTAATAGCTTTTTTGGGGGTGGACTATATTCATTCAGATTATGAAATACGCCTTTTAAAAATTGATGGGTGATGTGTTGACTATAGGGGTGGAGGGTAAATTTTTAACAAAAATCTAAATTCTATAAAGTGCATATAAATCTACATTTAAAATTCTAGCTTTAAGATGTAGCAGATATAAATTTGTTAATGATTTCCGATAATGTTTTAATCGATAGCAAAATAACAAGACAAGCTTTCGATTTTTGAGCCTAGGAAAAAAATTTCAAGTCTCTAGCTTTTACATCTTCTGAGATCGACGCATTAATACACACGGACGGACGGATAGGCGGTCAGGGGTAAATCGACTCAGCTCGTCGCTCCGATCAAGAATATATATACTTTGTGGGGTCTGCCACCACAGAACGATCGTAAGGGAGCTTCAGCAAGAATATCGTATTGACATATCCCGCGTAAGTATGCGCAGAGTCCTAAAAAGTATAGAGTTTGCACACAAGACCATCAGTGAAAGTTTTCCGAACTTAACAATAGGAATTATATTTTCCAGTTCAAAGGTTTTCAAAGGCTTTCGCCCCACACGGCTGGGTCCATCATTTTCGACTCGTCGCAAAATATGCTTTTATCCGAATATGAGTCCACATGTACCACATGCATCCTGACGAATGTTGGACGCTTTTTTTTTATGATCTGAAGACAATAACGTTTTTTCGTTTATTCCGTGCAAATCGGGGTGCAGACTCGTTATTTTTTATGAATCTGCGGACACTTTCGCACTTTCGGCATATCTCAATACGATATTCTGCTGCAACTTCCTGTCAAGCGTTCTAGTCGAAATTGCTCGGTTATCATTAAGTTTCCTGGCTAGAATACGCTCTGTCCTATCTGTTAACGCCCGAGGTCGGCCAGTTGAACGCTTTGGCTCCAGTGTTTTATTGTTCCCTGCGTGGCTTAAAATATTGTAAACTGTCCTCTTCAATATTATAAACATTTCTGCAATTTCCGAGGCCGATTTTTCCTATGCACTGGTTATAATAAACCAATTGAATCATGTCAAATGACAATCGCTTCCCTGGCATTTTTAATTTGTTTAAATTTGATCAAGATTATATCTATTCTTCATGTAAATGCGGTAAATGCGAATTTAGCAATTGGAAGAAATAAAGAATAAAGAAATAAAGAATATGCAAATACTTTTGCGTCCCTTGAATTTGACTATGTTATCAGTTGTTATCGATTGAAAACCTTATCGAAAATCAAAAATAAGATTATATCTCCTACATTTTTAAAGCTAGAGTCTCCAAATTTTAATTGTATACTTATATCACTGACCAGAGAACACATAGACTAGACTTGTAGAACAAACTTTTTCAACACCGAAAAAATGCGCTGAACCACTAACCAGAGAACACATAGACTAGACAACTAGTGGAAAGCTTTTTGCACG